TTCCTTTTAGGCTTTTACGTTTCCAACCCCCTAAATGCTAACCAGGAAAATAAATGAGAGGGTGGTGCTTGCATATTGGTCAAAGAGATATTTTGATGTGAATATTTTTGCTGTATTTGTGTAGGTTTGGTGGCAATGTCATGGAAATTGTTGCCTCTTGGACCAAAGGTTTGTGCATGGACATTTGCCAGGGTCACTTGCCAAATCACGCAGCTGATGCCAATTCTGAGCCAGTTGTGCAGCGTGAGAAGGACTTGTCTGGTTGGAGTGTGCTTGATATTGGTACTGGCAATGGACTGCTTCTCCAAGAGCTTGCTAAACAAGGGTAAATTTAATTTTTTTTGCTAGCAAAACATCTATAGCCAGCTATTTGCTTCGTTTGTCATTTTGTAACCAATAGATGAGCTTTCTTGTCCTAGATACTTTTGATGCATATTCTCTATAACCTGTTAAAGAGCCATACTGTCACAGTGAAAACTTTTGTGAATTACCTAGTTCATAGGGTATCAAACAGTTAGTTGTCATGAAGGTTTCTGTGTGTTTGTGCATGATTTAGCAACTTGACGCTTACACTAAAGTGCCTATTAAGCTAGGTGAAGCGCACAACTTAAGATTCACCAAGCTTCAGGGCTTAAGTGCGCTTTAAGCAAGTCTTTAACAACACTTCTGGAAGATGACAAATAAAAAGATAAATGTATAACTTTAAATTCCTAAAGAAAGAGAGAGATTATGCATATAACTATAGTAGTTGTACCTAGATAACAGATTGAGTAGTTAAATTAGCATGTCCATCCCTGTGGCTCGGTGGGGAAAATGGAAGTGATCTAGTGGCCAACATCTATGTACCTCGTGTGGTTAATATAGTTTAGGAGATTATATGGCTTTCTTATCACACATTTACACCTACATCTTTTAACTTCTATTAGAAGTGCCCAGGTCTTATTATATTAAAACCTACTCATTGTTTTAGCAGTACTTTAATCAATTTTAGTCTTAAACATTCTCGGTGTGTGTGGGTCAGAGGGGGAGAATCCGAAGATTATTACTTGCTAATACACATTACATATGGCGTTAGGTTCTCTGATCTCACTGGAACTGACTATAGTGAAGGAGCAGTTGACCTTGCACAAAGCCTTGCTGATCGTGATGGTTTCACCAATGTCAAGTTCTTGGTAAAAATTTACCTTTTTCTTCTATTAATTAAGCAAATTTGTGATGTATGCACGGCAGCATCTGAATCCAGTACGAAAAAGAAAAGGAAACCAGTGCTTCTTTTTGTTGTATTCAAAATCTTGTGCTGACTAACTGCTTTTCTATTATCTTCTTAATGTTAAGCGGTCTCTGTTATTTTTCATTTTTGGTTACGTTCAGGTGGCTAGATATACAGATAGTAGCAAGTTTAAATCATCTTTACTTGTGCACGCAATGAACATTTATTAAGTTCCTGCACTGGAAGATATAGCACTGATTATACATGTTCGGTGATCAAGAGTACAAACATTGAGCTAACTTAAACGCGGGATTTTTGCGTAGGGAAGAACCTTCCATAACAGTTGCAGATCTTATTAATATTGTGCTCTTGTCATGTGTGCTTATTTATCTGGTGCTCTCTTTGCTGGAGATTGGCTTCTTCTTTTTCGTGGTTAAACAAATTTCTACTGGCTAACAGGTTGATGACATTCTTGAAACAAAATTGGATAAAAGGTTTCAGCTAGTTATGGATAAGGGGACCTTAGATGCCATTGGATTGCATCCTGATGGTCCTATCAAAAGGTAGAATCCTGTATGTTACATGTGTCTTGTTTTTATCTTTCATGTCCTAAAACGCTCTTTACTCTGGGTACCTCCCTCTATTGGCCTAGACTGTTAGTCTCAATCAAATAAATAAATAGAAGTGTCTTCTTCAAGAGTTGAATTGATGACACAATTTAGTACGGTACCCAAGTAGGCAGAGATTCTGAGTTTTAAGTATTAGTGCCCCCCATCATTCATGTATTACTGTCCACCAACAAAAGTATTTTCACGTGCTTGGCTCAAGACCTAAAATCACTAAATAAATAAATGTCCTCTCTCTAAAAGTTTTTAACTCCTTAATGAGCATACTTATTTGTCTCCTTTGTTTCCCTTTCATATAGTTAAGGTGTTCCCTGATTCTTTATACATATAACATTGCTACTTTTCATATCTCACGTTATTCTTCGGTCATTTCAGGATTATGTACTGGGACTCTGTTTCAAGACTTGTTGCTCCTGGTGGATTATTGGTGAGAGCTCCTCCTGCTTCTGTCCTGTTTATAATTTTATTCAGTGCAATCATTTCTCTAATTAATCAATTACCTATAATTTGATAGTAACCCAGGGCCCATCAAAATTCAAAGAACAGATGCAGAGACATTGTAGTGACCACTAATGTTGGACTTACATTCCCATTAGAAACATTCATAAGTTAACATCCTATATTCTATCATCTTTTCTGGGTATTAATTAAATGTTTGCGACTTGTTCGTTTCTAATATAACTGCGTACAAGATTATCTATTTGTTTGTGAATGGGAATTCATCATGATCTTCCAAAATTATCTTTCTCTGCTCTTTTACCTGACTGGTAACCTCTGGTAGGTAATTACATCATGTAATAGTACAAAAGATGAATTGGTAGAAGAAGTGGATACGCTCAATCAAAGAAGGAATGCTGCTTGTCAACAACCAGGAGGAGTTGGAGACCGAGAAGCTTCAGTAGATTCTCCTCCATTCCGCTATCTTGATCATGTTCGCACCTATCCTACGTTCTCTTTTGGAGGATCGGTAGGCTCACGTGTAGCGACTGTAGCATTCCTAAGGAACTAGGGGAGGTCATTGGTCGGTCTGGTACGATTTTGAAAGATTGTATTTTTGGTTTTGGTTTTAAAAATGTTATTCCAATGCCATATCAAAATAAATTTGGTATGGTTCGGTTTTTCAGTTTTGGTTTGTGGTGTTTGATAACCTCGGTATTGCTCTTTACAGTTATATTTCTGTGAACCAAACTTGTAATTGTGATTCATAAAATTGACTTAATAAACTCACGCAAAAAAAGACAACAAAAATGAAAGAGAACAATTTAAACCAAATGTTAATGATGTTTTAATTTAAAACGAGACTTTCGGTTTTAGCTTGGAAAGAAAAGTGAAGAAAAGTGCTTTTTTTTCTTCGAAAGTGCTTTTCTCAAAAGTACTTTTGGTGAGAAGTAGTTTGTGTTTGGCTAATTAGTTTGAAAAGCACTTTTGAGCAGCAATTAGTGTTTTGCCAAGTTTTAAAAAATTGCTTCTAAGTGTATTTTTTTCAAAAGTGCTTCTCAAAAAAGTATTTTTGGAGAGAAGTTACTTTTTTCTGCTTCTCCAAAACTGGCATAAGCTGCTCAAAAGCATTTTTAGCTTATTTACATATAAGCCATATGTTGGTTTGACCAACATATTTTACCGCTTTATCCCCAATGTTATTTTGTATTCTTCAAAATATCATTAACTGAATTAAAACCTTAACCCTCTTCGTAATTCCCTCTCACTTTATTACGACTTATTTTAAAATTTATCAATATCTCCTTTGCCATCAAGAGTGCACAGATTCTTAGTTGCCGTTAAAAGCAATTAGTACATTGCTTTGGTTGAGAAAGCTCTCTCTCTTGTGTAATCACGCTGGCTTCTTCATTACTTTTACTTTTAAAAATTTATTATGCAGCAATATATGTTGCCCAGATATTTCAAAGTTCTCTTTTGCTTTCTATCTGAAAAATGAAACATTGTATCCTTGCAACTATGAATACATGAATCAACAAAGTGCTTCCCAAATCTTTTTATTCTTTTGACTTTTTAAGAAGGAAAAAGTTAACAATGGATTTCAAATTTCCTGGAAAGGATATTATAGCAGAGCTAATGAAAAAATAAGCTCCGTCATTACAAGCTATAGGGCGATTAATTAAAGGGATAATTTCACATAAGTACAACTCACACACCTGACTTGCAACATAATAGCCTAGATATCACATTGCAAATCTATAGCCCAAAAATAATAGGCTAATTCCCGAAAAAACGGCTTATTTCACACAATCAACATATTATCTGAAGGTAAGAAATTCAAACACATTTATGTGCAATTGCTGAAGCAATCCAACAGGATAATAGAAAAATAAAAAATTGATAAATGAATTGTAGAATTCCTCCAACGCGTACAAATCTGTTTCATATAGCACATACACGAAAAAGAAGAAGAGAAGGAAGTGTCAAACTTCTGTAGGGACCTCTTACACGCTAACAATGTATATACATCCTTATAAACTGAAAAAAAAATATATTTATACAACATTATACACAAATATACACATTTATACACAATTATACAATACTGTATAACTTGTATAAACATGTATAATAGTGTATAAGAGGTGTATGTATACCCATATACACAATTATACATTATTATACAGTGCCGATACAACCTGCTACATAGTTATGATTTTCCAGAACTTCAAACTTCAAACTTCAAACTTCAAACTTCAAACTTCAGAATCTTCCAAAATTACCAGAACTTCAAACTTCAAAATCCTCCAAAATTAGTAGTTGTTTGTTGGTGCAAATCAAGTTTGAGAGCTATTTATTTTCAGATCTGTGTGTATTTTCATGTTTCTTCTTCGTTCTTCTGCTTGCCACCATGGACGACGGAGTCTTTCTTCGAGCCTTCTTCGAGCCATTAATGGCAGAACTGCGTAGGGGGTAAAGGAGGGGAATAGCGGGGGCTAGGTTAAGAGAGGATGAGGGATCTATGTGGGTTAGAGAGAAAGAAGTGAGAGGCGGTGAGAGAGAGAAGGGAATGAAGAAAGAAGAAAATAATAAAAACCCTAAAAGTATGTCTTTAATAGTGGGCTAAAGGCTGAAAAATTTCTTTCAAGTTATGTACAACATGGGCTATATAGGGTAAGAGATTTAAATGTGGGCCATTTTCGGTTGGGTTATTAGGCCAAGTGATATGGGCTGTAACTCTTTCTTAATTAAATACCCCAAAGGAATATATATGTATAAAAATGAAAATAATCACATATATAGTTACAAATAGCTGGAATCCCAGCACTGCTACTTGAACAGAATTCCATATGCTCAGTTGCTAAGATTTAAATGAATAAGAAGGGAAGTAAGGTAAAGGCAAAGACTACAGCCAAGTATAGTAAATCCAATAGTTCCACCAACCATGCAAAAAAGTTCAACACATTGAGATATGTAATCCAACTCTTTCTTGCGTTTCTTCTGATCATAATATAAACTTGCAGTAGCTGTGTAATTCCAACCCTGCTCATGATCACATACCAAACACCTCTCCAGCCTCTCTTTCATCTTCACTTCTTCCATCCTTTCCTTCAAAACTTGTATATTTGCATCAACTACATGCCTTGATTTCCCTGCAATTATGACCGACAAAAGTTTTTCTTATTCTAGAGCGGCGATAGTATTAAAATAGAATTTAACTTATGTACACAAACAATATAATGATTTATAACATTCTCAATGTACTTTAACCTATTACAGTGCTAGGTTAATTGTCTTATCTTCTAGGTTACTAATTTCATTTATTATGGATGACTATCTTTATCTTTTAAGTGATCTGATAGCGTATTAAAAGTTAATAGATGTAAGCAGAAAAAGAAAGAAAACAGCATACCTTCATCTCTATAACTCTGAGCTCTAATTTGGGGTAGTTTTTGACGGATTCTGTACTTGCTATATGACATGACGATAGCTGGTGAAAGAACAACTGAAGAAGCCATAGGTTTGATCAGCTTTTACCATTAAGAAATCAAAATTTCAGGATAATGAAACATACAAATTAAAGGGCCGTAATGAGAAGATCTAGCTTTCTGAGTTTATAAGAGACTGTAGTGCTGGCAAGTCTTCTGTATTATGATTGCAGTAATCGCATCTTTAAATGTTTGCTTCACGTCTCAGATATATACAATGACATAACTTCGTTAATTATTATTATTATTATTATTATTATTATTATTATTATTATTATTATTCTATTTCATTTTTCTTAACTAATGTTTGTTTTTTGCTTAGCGAGTCAAATAATACACACACCACTAGACAACATAAAAATCATCAATTAGGATTTGGTGGTAAGGTATGAAAAAAGTAGAACGTTTTGAACCCAAACAAAATTGTTTAGGTGTGCCGGCAACTAAATAAGAAAATAAAGGAGCTTTGAATCCGGATTAATACCCATATTTTATTGTTATAATTTGTTTCTGGTTCTGGATTTACTAAGTCAATACTTTCAATAACAGAGTTAATATATTTTGTAAATACATGAACCATGCTGACTTGGGACTGTGTGGATAGCACTAGAAGTAAGAAATGAGGTTTTGTTCAACAACCATGTCGTATTATCTGTTCAATTAGCATTAATTAATTAATTGGATAATGCTTCCTAGATATCTTCTTAATCACGGGATATGGCATGACAACTAGTTAAGCCAAATATTAATAAAGAAGATAGGAACAAATGCCTACTTTTAGGAGTGCATCACAAAATTTGTTATATATAAGAGGACCAAGTTAATTTTTGGGTCAATATAGGACAGCTCAAGTAGAGCTAAAAATTGTCAAATGTGGAACCACGTATTTGTTCGACTCCAGCTATATTTACCATGCATAAAATTATCTTTGTTTGGTGTGTGAACAAAGTCCTATATTTGTAGCTAAAATGATTGAGAGTCTACATATAAGATGTAAGGATCACTTAATGTTGTGAGGTCTTGCGAGAAAAATCATGCGGGCATATCTCAAAAACAAACAATATCACACCATGTTAAGCTATTTTTGGGCTGATTTTAGCCCAATAGCTGGTATCGAAGCTTAGATTTTGCGGGACGAATATGGAGATAGTAAAGTGATGGTGACAATGCGTATGCAAGAAGAAGCTAGTTGGATGCTTCGGTTGCCATAAATACTTTAACGAAATTGACTTGTGAATGGTACGAGGCCTTTTCGGAAAATTCTGTGGACTTGATCCAAACCGAATAATATCACAACATATTATGAGTATCTTTGGGTTAGTTTTAGCCCAATAGTCTTGTTACGTGAATTGTTTGATCTTTCCTATGAGTGTGAATAAATTGGAAGAATTTCCAGCTCTCTAGTTTAAGTAGTTATGACTTTGCTGTTGGTAACTGGTATGTGAATTAAATGAGGGAGTAACAATTAAATTTGATTTATGGTTTTAAAGATGCGTGATTTAGTTCAATACTAATTAACGACCAAGAAATCTGAAGTATAAATGAAAGGAACAAGTAAGATCAAACCAGAATGTAGACCAGTCTCGACCTCGAGCCAAAGTGACTTCGAGATGGATCAAGAATAATAAAGCTAAAGGACAATCCTGATGAACAATGAGCCAAAAAGTAAGAGAGTAATTCTTTGTCAATGATTAGATTGTCTTTACAAATGATTGGGGTCCCCTTTATATAATAGGTGAACCCTAAATAAGGTACATTTCTATTTACAGTAAAGAATCTTATTGGATCTGCTGTCTAACCGCCTAGTACGGATTCATACAAATCTATTCCGGGATTTACGCCACGATCTTGGGGATGTGGCAGGAATCTAGCTCATTCTGTTACAAACCCATAACAGCATTATCTCGGGGTTAAACATACTCGGCTTCGATACTCATTGCGAACTTCGATCCTCGGGCCTTGTAATCTGTCGTCGAGCTCGAGCCTGGTCTATCGAGCTCGAGCTCGATTCATCCTGGATTCGGACTTAAAGCGACCCTTCGAGCCCGGAAAATCGGGCATATCTGACTTTAACCGTATACAGACATATTATATACAATTGGAATTTGCAGTGAGGCTAAAGTAAAAAGAGTTGTAACGGGGAAATAATTATGAGTAAGATGCATGAAACTTGATTTTTCTTATAAAAAGATGTGTTCCCTAGAAATTAACCGTAGCTTCAGTGGCTGAATTCCATGCTAGTTAGATTTTGATTGTATTGGCGCGCGAGTAACATATCTTGTTAGTCAGGATTTAATAATAAATATAACGTTAAAACGTCAGGTAATCATAGGATAAAATGAAATGACATTACTATATCGTTGAGATAAAATTTCATTTTACATAAATTACAACTTTTTTTGTTCAAGTCCTGAAAGCAATCACTAATACTTGTATTAGAGTAGATTGTCCATATATCACACTTTTAAAATGCGACCCTTCCCCAGATTTTACGTGAACGCGAGATTCTTCACGTAGGCTGTCCTTGTTGAGAATATTGCTAAAATAGAAAACTTCAAATTTGTTTACCGGGATGCGACCCTAAGACAAAAGATGTTCCACATGACAAGACACTTTTATGCATGGGAAATATAGCTCGAGTCGAGGAAAACGCATACTTAGAATATAGGCTCCGATAAGCTATTTGACCATTTCTAACATTACTAGAGCTGCCCTTTTAATTGACCCCACAATTAACTTGGTCCTCACTTAAATGTGTATAGGGTAAAATATGCTATGCTAGATGGCCACTTAAAAGAATGACATGCGGAACCGAGGGCAATTATCTCGTTTACACCGTAGGAAATGAGACCCATAAAGAGGCAATCAATACCTTCCTCCAGGTGGCATTAATGAAGAATATTTCAGGCATTAATTGCACTGCCTGTTAGAAGGAATTTGTCATTTATGCTCACCGTTACATTTTCATCAATGGCCCTCACAATTGACATAAAGAAGAGCACGATCCTAGGACCTTGTTTCCTAGACGTAGCTATAAATAGTAAGCTCTGTTATCATTATAAGGACACAAATTTTCTGGCAGACTAACACTACAATCTATCCAAAGCTTCATATAATTTTATCTTCTTATTTTCTGTTCTTATTACTGTTGCGCCCGGAAGCTTCACTACCGGAATCTTTATTTCTGTCATTTCCTCTTCATATCAGGCTAAGTGTTATATATATTTCTTCAATTATCTTATTATTTCAGGATCGAATTAATTCACTTGTCTAGAAATCACGTATAAATTCAATTGTACCATTTTACGGGTAAACAGTTTGGCGCCAACCGTGGGTCCTAGACAGCCGTGTAATTAAGATGATTTTCAACGTTCACTACTAACGTTTACAAGGTTGGTTTTTTACTAGATTCACGTGCTTCATCTTGAACACGGACTTTTCACTGCCTTGATCTCTCTAAATGATATCATTTTCTTCAATTCAAATACTTTTCAAAGTAAGAATATTCTTACTTCCATCGCAATCCGTAGTATATATTTCCTTGCCAAACTCTTTTTGGACTTGGACCACTCATTTGTATCGTACAAAATATCTAGTAAGCTTGATGTGCAATTTCTTTCCTTTAGTAAGTAAGTACTCATGGATTCTCCAAATCTCTTTCATAATTAATTCCTTGATCAACGCAGCATATTTGCTCCTTAAAATGTTCCATGCTATCTCCTTCCAATAAATATTTCTTTCTTATCCGTTGAATATAATTTTTCCAAGCTGCTTCTCTTCCCTTTTACCATAGTATGCTTCTATAACATAGCCATTAGCTTTGGACTTTCCTTTTTTATAACATCTTCCATATCTCCTTCATTTTTCTGCAAATCTTCTATTTATCGTCTTCGATCATTCCTTTTTAGCAAACCTGTACAAAAATAATTTACCACAAGTAAATATTCTTTTACTAAAAGTTATGCGGGTTTGATATCATCAAAATCAATAAGTGAAACCATTGGCTAACAAAGTCCTTTTATTTCTATCTTGTTTCTTGTCTGAACAATGAATTAATTTTGTCATTTGAAAGTTAAACAAGTACTTCAAATTCTAGTACTGTAATGAACAGGAGACGTCCTCTTCAAGAGCACCATAAACATAAGAGGGCCCTCTCTAATAAAAATTATCACGTTAAAGGGTTGATTTCGAAAGAACTTATGCCTGGAATCAAAATGCCTTCGGGAAAAAATACACCTGAAGCCTTGCACAAAAAGACGCAAAAAGCAAACTTGCGCAAACACATAACCATCACGTTGAAGGATTGATCTCGGACGAGTTTGTGCCCGAAATACAAATGCTTTTGGGAGAAAAAATACACTCAAGGTCTTGCATAATCAGTCGCAAACAGGAAAATTTGTGTAGAATAGTTAAGCAAAAAAGAATGCAAATGTTAAAACTTGCAAACGAAAGAACGCAGAAAGAATCATGCATACTTGAACAAAAGATGTATTTACTTACAATAAACGTGCCAAAATAGCACAAGTACAAAAGTTGGGAAAAGCTAAACTGCTGTCCCTCCGGAGCCCGGAGGAAGAGAAGTGTCTGCATCCCCAGGGGAAGTAGAAAGATTCGCCGATGCCTCAACAGTTTGGCCCTCAACATCATCACCTTCTAATTCCTTTTCAGTTTCCGAAAATTCAGAACCGGAACCAGAAGAACCAGGAGCATCAAGCTCTGCCGAGGAACCAGCCGAGAGTCCATTTTTAGAAACCAACTTAAATGGGCCTTAGCAATTTCAACATCAAAATCAATGATACCAGCTCTGGCCTCCTCCAAGGTTTTTTTTTCTCCTCATGTTGTACACGGCGTAAGTTTTCTCAACAACGAGGGAAGCCGCTCAGAGATTAAGTTCTTCTTTGAGTTGAGTCACCTCGGTAGAAAGATTTTCCTGGGCGGATCTAATAGACTTGAGGCTAACGTCAAGATCGCGGACAGTAGAGCTGAAATTCTATTGTGCTCAAAGGTCTTCTTATATTTCTCCTCCTACTAGACATATTTTTCCCCCGCAGCAACAAGCTATTCAGTCTTGAAATTCAAGGCTGCCTCTAAGTTGGTCAATCTTTCAGTAAAGGCAGCCTCACGATCAGATGCAGCAAGAACGACATTATGAACTTCAAACCATTTAGATTTAGCCTCTTCAAATTGAACC